GATTACAAAAAAGAATTACATGAGCACGTGTAGTCGTGATAAGAGGTAGGAACGCCAGGAGGAGGCGGCCAAGCACTGGTTTCTTCATCCGGTGTGTCGAGAGCATTAGGTCATCGACGATACGCCTGAGGGTGATAATACTGTGATGATTTTGTTGCTTGAAGGTCATAGCGTTTCTGGAATCCCAGGTGACCTGCGACCAATATCAACCAGTTGGCCGGATGCCTTCTCCGACCTTCACGGCGTTCCTATACGCCGTCCTACGAGCCATCAACTCGTCCATCAAACTGCCCACGTCATTGTACGAAGATCCACCGTTCTCCACCGCGCACCTTGCCTTCATGCAGAGTTCCCTGGCCTTCTCTCGTATCGCGTCGCCCTCCTCGCTGTTGCCCATCAGTCTAACAATGGATTCAGCGATCGCCTCTCCCATCACCACCCCAGAAGACGCGTAGTCCTTGCCGCCGGTGACGCTGACACCCACCCTGAGCACCTCCACGACGAGCTGCTCGTTGTGGAGCTGGTCTGCATACCGCGGCCACGTGACCATCGGCACACCAGCGCTCACGGCCTCCAGCGTCGAGTTCCAACCACAGTGCGTCAAGAACCCACCGACCGCAGGGTGGTCTAGGATGAGCAACTGCGGCGCCCAGCCTCGGATGATGAAGCCCCGGTCGCCGCGCGCCATCAGCTCGGCGAAGCCTCCGGGCATCCACTCTGAAGAGTCTGGGGCTGGGGTTGCGGCGCCGATCACCCACACGAAATCCACGCCTGAGAGCGCGAGGCCGCGGGCGAGCTCGCGCATCTCCGCCGGCGAGGAACTGGTCAGCGTGCCGAAGGAGACGTACACCACCGAGCCGGCGGGCTTCGCGTCCAGCCACCGTAGGCAGCTGTTCGCGTCCGGCGAGAGCGCGTCCGTGCCCCTCCCGGCCATGTCCTTGCTGGCGAGCGCGACGGGCCCGACGAGCCACGCTCGCCGGCCGAGCGCCCTTTGGTAGTGCTCGACGTAGTCCGGCTCCAGCGCGTGGAAGCTATTGAATACCTCGCCGAAGCTCCTCTGGTCCGCGGCGTTGATGCTCTGGAAGAGCGCCCAGTGGTCAGGCCGCTTCGCCGGGTCGATCATCATTTGGCTCCGCCTGAGCTGGACGCGGTGCGGCAGCCCCGGCAGCAGAACGAGGGCGTCGAGGTCGTCGGGAGCAGCCTCCAGCGGGTTGTTGCGCAGCATGCTTTCGGTGCAGGACCGCGCCAGCATGCTGGTGCCGAGGAACGCGAGGCGCGGGACGCCGTGCTCCGCGGCGGCGTCCGCGGACCAGTGCCAAAAGCTGTCGGACACGACGGCGTCGGGGCAGTTGTCAACCAAGAATCGCTCGAAGGGCTCCCGGAGCAGCTGCGCCGCTTCGAAGAACCTTTCGCGGTCCACGTCGGACTTAAGGGCCATGCCGTTCTCCACGCCCGGCGGGAGGCCCCCGATGTCAGGGAAAGGCACGACGGAGATGTTGATGGCCGGGCAGCCGGTGCCATGGGACGCGTCGTTGGCATGGTCGACGGTGGAGCGGATGATGGCAGCGTTGACGGTCGTGGTGAGGATGGTGCACCTGATGCCACGGGCGGCGAAGAGCGCGGCCATATCGGCGATCGGTATGAGGTGGCCGGGGGCGAGGAACGGGAAGAAGAGGATGTGCAGCGGTGGCTGCTGCTCGCCTTTGACAGCCATGGCTGGCTAGCTGCGTGTCTGCTTGCCGGCACAGAGCAGGAGCAATCAGTACTGTATTTAAAAAGGGCAAGTTGTTTGTGACTTTGGTGATCTCCGTCCTCGAGAGTCCACTTTGCTCTAGTTATTAAGATGCTTGATTCTGACTTTTTCGATGCCTTCGCATGCAAGGGTTCGAACACTTTTCTCAGTGTAACTTATTTGAGTGTGATCGATCTAGTTAAAAAATTGAAAACAAGGTAAATTTCGTTACTATTAGTAAGTCGTGGACTTTGCTCAATCAAATACTCCGTCCGTCATACAGTATAAGATCGTTTTTCTTGCTATATGTTAGATTGCAAAAAGCGATCTTATATTGTGGGACGGAGTGAGTATTGTCTTGTTCGTTTTCTTTATGGATTTTTTTTTGAACAAACAAATGGCGCACCAGGCGCTCATACTATTGCATTAATCTGAGAAACAATTTACACGTATAAGTACAAATCCCTGCATTTGAGTGTGCATTAATCTCTGAAGCAGGGGACAATGCCCTCTAGTATGAACAGGATTAGTGCAACTAAACCTATGGATAGGAGAAGCTACATGATCCCGTGTGATTGCTAACCTTGCAGCTTTATGCGCTATGCTGTTTTGATCTCTGTTAACATGGTAGACCTGAATGTTCCTGAACTCTGTCATTGCACAAAAGTCTGCTATATAGCTTCT